AGATACAAGCACATTTGTTTCGATGGACTGAACTGTAAAAGGTGCACTTTCAATGTTTTCTGATGCAATAGCTGGCTGGACCCTCATGATTTTTTTCTCATGATTTTTATGTAGGATGCTATCCAAAGCTAAGGTCAATGCACACAGAACGTACCATAAAAATCACATTTCTGGCACTTGATGATGCTGTCATAGTCCATACACATGACTCGTCATCTGGATTTTTATATGGAGTGTCTCAAAAACCACAAATAACTTACAGAGATCATATTGATATCCACAGACAGACTGTGAAATAATTGATGGTAGTGCTTGTTGGCACTATCATGAGGCAAAACCATACATCTGGAGCGTGGATCCTGTGGATTTTTGCAATGATGCTATACATATCAGTGTCAACCGATTGTGTCTATATTCACAGATCATACTACTGTATTAAAATCATGGATCCAGTGTTTCACAGCACCTATGACGCAAAGTTATTGATACAAGACAACTTAGACCACATCTGTACTTTTGTACTACAATTTAGAATCACAGATCTGGGGTTTCAAAGTGTCACTAGAGGGGGGAAAACCCCAAGAAATGGATGCTCTGGATATTATATCTGGATATCATTAGGTGTGGATTAGTTGACCCACCTAAGTGGTACTCAGAATATCACTCAAGAAATCACTCAAGATACCCCTCAAGTAATTAAGGAACAAAAGAAGAAAAGGCACACTAGCCTGGGAACTTCCTCTCTGCCCAGAACATTGGAGGCTATACACCACACCCCCTCAACAGTATTTATAGGAACTCAAACACTGAGATCCTGCTCTGTTCCAGTAACAAGAAGCCGAAAGCACCAGCCTGAAGATGACGAGTGAGACCTCGTCGAAACGTCGCCTAGACACCCCAACTTTTACACGGGAAGACACCCGAGGACACCAAAACCTGCATTCCTGTACCCGTGAAAATCTACGAAAGCATATATATATATATATATATATATATATATATATATTGCAGTCATGGATTCATGCTTTATGGCGATGAAGCACCAAATCCATTATTTTACTATGCATTTTGTGGCCATGGACATACTCTTGTAATTTGGTTTGTTTTGGTGGGGTGCTGTGTGCATGTTTTGTGCCATGGCAGTGCCGTGAAGAGCAGGATTTGTGGTTTATAAAGTTCTGTGGGTATGGATGCGGCATGTGCTTTGGCACAGATTATGGGGAGCATATGTGTAAAATTAATGAGGATCCATGTCTTGGTTCCTTCTTTTTGCATCATGGCAGTGCCAGAAAGCACTGGCTCCACCATAGCCACAAATGTTCTCTTTCATAACGTTGTAATTTAAAAGCTGAAGTAATTTGTTATATTTAGAAAAATTATTATCCTACTTCAACCTTATGGTAAGCTAAGCATACAACTAGACTTTCATGAATAGGTCCATTAGTAAAGGTAAAGGTACCCCTGCCCGTACGGGCCAGTCTTGACAGACTCTGGGGTTGTGTGCCCATCTCACTTAAGAGGCCAGAGGCCAGCGCTGTCCGGAGACACTTCCGGGTCACGTGGCCAGCGTGACAAGCTGCATCTGGCGAGCCAGCGCAGCACACGGAAACGCTGTTTACCTTCCCGCCAGTAAGCGGTCCCTATTTATCTACTTGCACCCGGGGGTGCTTTCGAACTGCTAGGTTGGCAGGCGCTGGGACCGAGCAGCGGGAGCGCACCCCGCCGCGGGGATTCGAACCGCCGACCTTTCGATCGGCAAGCCCTAGGCGCTGAGGCTTTTACCCACAGCGCCACCCGCGTCCCTAGGTCCATTAGAAGTAAACAAAATTAGTCTTCTATGCACATCATAGTTTACAAAATGGAAACTTTGATAGTGGTTGGAGGAATGGTATCTTTTTTGGGGGGGATCATGCAAATTCAGATGAATCTATTTTAATTCTACTGGATTTTACTTTTGACCAGACTCCATGATGTGTAAAGTTCAGTCTGTAAAGACAGATGAAATGTGTGTTTTGACACTGTTTTGGGGAGGATCCCATATTGAAAACAATCAAGATCTATTGGGCCCCATGGTCTGATCCATGTTTTTCACTATGGCAGCAGCAAATGGCAGTGTATTAATTATTTGTAAGGGTCATTCCCTTGGGGGTAGATTTTAGCTGTGGTTCGATATGGAGGAGGGGTGGAATTCTCTCTCTTTTTTAAAATAAGCATATTGAAGAGGATCCGGTTTTGATGTTCTGCATGCTTCTTTTTACCACTTTCAACCAGGAAATCCAGACCCACAATCTGAAGTGTACTGAGGAAGACAGAGAGAGAGAAGGCTGATTGTTCTGCACATGCTCAGGGGCACCTTTGTCATTAATCAGAGATTGTGATACAGAATGAGTAGAGGCTTTGAAAATGGTTCTCGGGGCCAAGCCTTTCAGCAAATGTAAATAACAACAACAACAACAACAACTGTAATAATGTAATAAATAAATAAATAAATAAATAATAAACTTTGGCTGATTAATGTTATATGACCTTTTGGGAATTATAGGGTCAGAACTACTGAAACTGTATACTGTAGCTTATTCATGTATGCAGCTACAGCAACAAAAATGTTACTTGCTCAAAAATGGAAAGAAGTCCCAGCAAAGGAAGAATGGATACAAAAACTGATGGAATATGCAGAAATGGTGAAACATAACGGAAGAATAAGAAATCAAGAAAAGAAACTTTTTAAAAAAGAATGGAAATGGTTTGTTGAATATTTACAGATGGAATTGTAAACAGATAAGGACGTTGGCAGGATTATTGCAATAACCTGCAGTTTTATAAGTATATATTTAAAGAAGATGAATAAATGAGCAAGTTAATTTGGATAAGCAGAAGATATTAAAAATAAATTTAAGGAACCGCAGAAAGAGGAGGAAGTCAAGTTTTGAAAGGTTAAAATGACTGTAAAATTAGTGGGTTTGTTTTGGTTTGTTGTGTCCATGTTTTTATGACGTGTTTTCGTACTTGTATTCTTATGCTGGGAGGCGCTCAGTAGCGCACAAATTTAATTAATAAATAAAACAAAAAAATAACCCTAGCGGCTCCTTCCCTCAGGCGGCGACAGAAAGCGGCCAGGCTCCTGCTCTGCATAAACCCGCCCTCCGGGCCATCCCATCTCCCGCCTCAGCCGCCTCTTCTTCCTCGGAGCTCGCGGAAGTAAACGCTCCGCTTCTTGCCCGCCCGCCCGCGCTCTGCCGTCGCGAGCGCCTGCTGACGGGCGGTGGTCGGCGCGAGACCAACGGTCGCCTCCTCAACTCCCGCTTTCCTCGCTGAAGCGACGTTCGATGTGGCAGCGAAGGGGCGGGGCGGCGAAGGAACCGAGGCGAGTTGGCGGTTGGTCAGGGGGCGTGGCCAACGCTCCTCTCTCAACCGCCACACAGCGGGCATCGCCCCGCCCATTGGGAGGCGTGGCCCAACGTTCCCGAGGAGGAGGGGGGGCTTTGTTGTGAAGCTGGGAGTTGCCGCCGGCGGTCGGGGCCGGGAAGGGGGCGCCCTCTTCGCCTCAACTTGCCTTTTTCCTCCCCGAGCGGGACGGGGCCGGAGCCGCCTTTCCCTCCCTGAGGGACGGCAGCGAGGTGAGGAAGGGGCTCGGGCGGGGGAAGCAGCGGCAGGGCGCCGTCCCGCTCAGCTCCGGCGTGTGGCGTCCTGAGGGGGCGGCTGGCATCCTGTGCCTTCTTCCTGCGGATTCACAGGGGAGGCGGTTGGCGGCGGCGGTTTCTCCTCAAGGACGCGCGTCAGGCAAGGGGCGGTTGGGTTCGAGCTCCGGAAGTTTCGCCTCCCCTCCCCCGGATGCGGGAGGCGAACCCCGGAGTTGGCGCGAAGTCACCACAGAGGAGGAGCGAGCGCGTGAACATGTGCAGAGCGCCTTTCCCCCGTGGTCGCTCCAGAGGGCTCTTAGAGACCCACTTAAAGTTAGTGTAGGATTGCCATCTTTGGACCACCCTCGACCTAACTGCCAACTGGGTGGCAAGGGAGAGGCGTTCCCACGTGCCCTTTCACTGCATGCTTGTAGGTGAAGATTGGACTCTCATTGTTTGACAGTGGACTTCCTCTGAAGGTAATGGGGTCTCCTTCCTTGGAGGTTTTTAAGCAGATGTTGGGTTTCCGCCCTCTGTACTCCAGTTGAGATTCTTGCATTGTAGGGGGTTGGGCTAGATGGCCCTCGGGGTCCCTAACTGCTCTATGATTCTATTAAACTAGCCCGCTTTCAGTGATGTCAGGGGTTTGTTTTAGAATTGCCGCAGAGCAAAAGCTAATAGAATCCCATTAGAGAGTCCAAATCCTTTCATCTGACTGGGAGTAGAGAATGATCAAAAGACAGTCGTTTTGAATTAACATTTGGAGCTAAAGGTTGCGTTCATGTGGTGTAATAGTCTTGAACTAAAAACTTGTGGATCTCTTACTCTGCCACTCCCAGTCTGTTTTAGGAGAAAGGGAGCTGATACTTTTGCCCCAAACCCTTACCCTTCTCCTTGCACTAGTAAATTTAAGGTTTCGATGAACTTAGGAAGTATTAGCAAGTGTTGCCTACTTCTCTAAGAACGGGAGCCATTGTACCACCAGCTGTACCCCAGAGAACCATGCTACTTATGGCTCAGTCAAGATTTATGTCATTGATCGGAGCTACGTTTTTCAAATTCAAGCTCAGTTATGTTCCGTTGGCAATTTATTCTATTCCTTTGTGAGTGTGTGTAATATTTTGTAACCCGGGGCATCTCTCATTCAGGTGAATGAGTCATCTGATCTGGGGAAGCTAATGTAATGCAGCATTAAAAGTAATCAAAAATTAATTGCCGTGGACTGTAGTTCATGACCTGTGTAAAGATTAGATGGGCCTCCTTCCCTCATTGCTTTATTTTGCTCTATTAAGAAAGACGGATTCAGACTGTGCGAGAGCGTGGCTGGCAGGGAGAAGTGTGTGTGTGAGTGACATCTGTCCCATTGCATTTGAGCTGCCTTTTCCAGGCAATTTGGTTTGTATGATGGATGCGGGTGGCGCTGTGGGTTAAACCACAGAGCCTAGGACTTGCCGATCAGAAGGTTGGTGATTTGAATCCCCGTGATGGTGTGAGCTCCTGTTGCTCGGTCTGCTGCTGCCAACCTAGCAGTTCAAAAGCACGTCAAAGTGTGAGTAGATAAATAGGTACTGCTCCAGCGGGAAGGTAAACGGCGTTTCCGTGCGCTGCTCTGGTTTGCCAGAAGCAGCTTAGTCATGCTGGCCACATGACCCGGAAGCTGTACGCCGGCTCCCTCGGCCAGTAAAGCAAGATGAGTGCCGCAACCCCAAAGTCTGCCACGACTGAACCTAATGGTCAGGGGTCCCTTTACCTTTAAAGAAAAGCAGAATATCCATATACGTTGTTAAAGTCATTTTACACTCCTAGTTTAGAAAACATGTACAGTAAGCCTACAGTTTGTGGGGGTTGCATTCTGCTGATAGTACATGAAGCCAAAATCACTTATAGTCAAAACCCATTGGATTCAGTGGTGAGTGGGATTGCCAAAATCATTTCCCCCAGAACCCTGGCCCCTTTCTTCTTTTTAATTTTTACCATGTGCATATAGCTGAATGTGCACAGATTAAATGTACATAAGTTGCAGGCTTGCTGTATAATGAAAACAACTCTGCAAGGAATGTTTTCTGTTGTGCCCTTTTAAAACCAGGAGCCCTTTGCACTTTGCTTGGGGTGTGTGGAAATGGCAAATATACATGAGTAGTTGTGCTGTTGGGATATTACATTAGTATTCCTCCACCAGCAATATTTTCTGTAGGAAACACAACTCTTACTAGAAACAATAATTCTGTTACATCCTGAAAGTGTTTTTGTTTTATTTCATTTTTTGTTTTGTTTCCCAGTTCTGTGTGGCTCTGTTTTGAATCTCCAGAGTCCAAACTAAAATGACTTCTGGCTTCATATTATTGATATAGTGATATGTAGCTTGTCAATTAAACATGATCTTGCATCCGGATATAGTTATGCTGTGGACAAGCCCAGACAGGATGCTGTGAGGGTTTTAGTGTCAAGCCCAGAGTTACATCTAAACTGCCGGAAAGTGCTGGATTTAGGGTTCATCCACACTTAACTTATGCCCCGTGCTTTATTGGCACAGGCCTGTGCTTTAAAGCTCCTTGGCCAAGCACACTTTTTTCCATCCCTCTGCTTTTTCCCAGGAAAACTCACTTATTAACATTGAATTAGAACAAGTGGCAATTCAGGTTTTCAACGGTGAAGAGCGGGTTTTCACTAGAAAACAGGTACAGTGGTGCCTCGCAAGACGAAATTAATTCGTTCCGCGAGTTTTATCGTCTTGCGATTTTTTTCGTCTTGCGAAGCACGGTGTCGGGAAAGTTTTGGAAAAGCTTCAAAAACCTCAAAAAGCTTTAAAAACCTCAAAAAAGGCTACCACACTTCGAAGTCAAGTCGCAACTGTATTAACGGTGTTAAGAAAAAGGAAACAAACTTGCAAGACGTTTCTGTCTTGCGAAGCAAGCCCATAAGGAAAATCGTCTTGCGATGCAGCTCAAAAAACAAAAAACCCTTTCGTCTAGCGAGTTTTTTGTCTTGCGAGGCATTCGTCTTGCGAGGTACCACTGTAGGTAAAAAAAAAATGTTTAGAAATAGCACTTTAAAGCACAGACTTTGCCTAGAAACATTGCACAAAAAGAAGTCTGCATGCGCTTTTAGTCATAAGATTTTTCTCTTGAAGCTTCATGTTTCATCCTACATACACAAGGTCACACTCTAAGCTTTGTGTTACTCAAACTGGAATAATTATCCTTGACACTCATGATTTCCCTTCAAGTAAATATGGTCTGCATCAGAGTAGTTTATGTATTGTATGATGAAGTGTCAAAAACAGTGGAACCTTGGTTCTCAAACGGCTTAGTTGACAAACAAATCGGCTCCTGAATGCCTAAAACCTGGAAGTAAGTGTTTTCTAAAGTTTTTCGGAAGCCGAATGTCCGGTGCGGTTGTTGGCTATTGTTTCCAGGGCGCCTGCACCAATCAGCCTTGGTTTTCAAATGTTTCAGGAGTCGAACGGACTTCCGGAACGGACTAAGTTTGAGAACCAAGGTTCTACTGTACATAGATTTTTAGAATGCCTAACAATCAGCTTGAAGAGAGTTTAATTTTGGGGTCATGTGCGTCTAAAATGGGGAATACAGTGGTACCTCGAGTAACAAACACCTCGGGTTACAAACACTTCGGGTTACAGACTCTGCTAACCTGGAAGTACTACCTCGGGTTAAGAACTTTGCCCCACGATGAGAACAGAAATTGTGCAGCGGCAGTGGGAGGCCCCATTAGCTAAAGTGGTACCTCAGGTTAAGAATGGTTTCAGGTTAAGAACGGACCTCCGGAATGAATTAAGTTCGTAACCAGAGGTACCACTGTAAACACCACAATTGGAAACTCCAAATAAAAAGGTTTAGGAGTTGGTTCGCCAATCCCCACCTATCCATGCAACATATAGGGGGGAAACCATAGGTCAGTAGCAGAACCTATGCAGAGAAGATTCCTGGTTCAGTGCCTGGGATTTTCCATTTGAAAGGGTCAGCTGTCAGGTGATGGGAAAGACCTCTGCCAGAGACCCTGAAGATCTGCTGCCCGTAAATACTGGAC